GGCACATTGTGTGTGGCTGGCAAGGGGAAACAGACCCTGAGCAACTTCTGCTGAATCATTAGTTTTCCTGGAGACTTCTCCCTGCTCCTGGGGACATTCTGGGGACAGACACGAGAGCAGACCCCCATCTGTGTGTCTGTCATATGACTGTCCAGAGCAAAGGCAAAGATCTGCCGCTCGCACCAGGGGCTTGTTTCATCTGCACTGACCTGCAGCCCCCCAGCCCCTGCCAAATTCCTTGGAGCTGCTGATTAACACACTGACAACTCTGCTCCGGAGTCACGGCATGCTGAGGCAGGAGGCAAAGGGGTTTGACAGTGTGGCCTAAATATCCCTGTTTACAAAAGTCTGACAAAACACCAGCCCTTGGCTTTATCTTTCCCATTTGGAAATAGCCACAGAGCAAATATACTTAAGGCATGAAGGGAGGGGGATTTATATTGACTTTAGAAAAAGCTGTTCTTTAAAAACAGGAAAAAAAGCTCATCCTCGAGCTGTGCAGACTGGCTGCTAGACTCACAAGTCCTGTGCAGAGGCTTAAAGCCTGCCTGCTAATCTGGAGTAGTTCTGTGTGAGCAAGTCATGCAGTAAACTGCTCTCTGTTAATTTTTTAATGCAGAATAAACAGGTTAAGAAATGATTAGCATGAGAATAAGTTGAGCTTAATCAGGAGAACCAGAAAAGATGAGAGGGAAGAGGCAAATTGGAGTTATCAGTTAACCATATGGAGCAGCTCTGCCTCCACAACCTCATGTTTTCTCTCGTTTTCCATCCCCACTAAAGTTGCCCTTTTTTTTCCCACTTCCCTAACTTAAATGTTGAGCTAAAATTGCTGGTATAAGCACAATGGAAGCCCTTGTTTCTCCTTCTCATTTTCTACCTGCAATGGCTGCCCAAAAGAATTGCAGGTGATAAGGCTCCTACCTGGTTATTCCCGATGGTCCTTCCCATTCCACGTGGAGAAAGGGAGATGCTGCCATTAAGGTTGAAAGCCGCAAAATCCGCTTTGTGCAAGTGCAAGTGCTCTGCTCAGGTGCAAAAGTTTCAGCTTGATCCCAGCAGATCTGGGGACTGAGCAGAGGCATCCGTGGGCAAGGGGAAGAGCAGCCCTCGGGACTGCTTGGACTGGAGTTTGGTCAGTGGTCGGAGATCTATATTCTCAGATAGGCAGGACTTTGTCCACAAACTGGAATTTGAAATTTCAAAGGGGAAAAGAAAAAAAAAGGCAGAAGGGACCTTTGCATGTGTGGAGATGACTACACTGGTGACATTCCCCTGGGACGTTTGATCTTTGTCTTGTAACTCGGCTCCGTGCTTCCCCACAGCTCACTGGGCAAAATGGTGGTGGGCTCAGCAGGGTCCCTGATGTTGTTCAGAGCTTTCCTGCTCTGGAGAGGTTTCAGACCCTAAGCCCATCACTGCTTCACTTTCATGCCAAGGAAAAGCCACTCCAGCCCCACAGTGGCCTCAGAGATGCCAATGACATGGCAGGAGTGATCTGGAGTTGGGGCTGCAAGGGACAGCGGTGACATTGCTGATGAGACGAGGCTGGTCCTGCTGGCTCTGGGCACTGGAATTTCTGCCAAGGATTTTGTGAGAGTGCAGAGCTGTGAGAGGGAAAATCCAAGGGCCCTGGGCTCCCAGATGCAGTCAGAAAGTTCAGAAAGTCCACAGGTGACCCTAGATGGGGGTTTTGGCCGGTGCACTGGAGGGCAGGGCTGCTGTCCCGCAGCAGGCTGGAGAAATGGGCCGGCAGGAACTGGCAGGAATTTTTTTCATTAAAAAAATGAATTGAGAGAGGCTCAGACAGTGTCTTAAGAAAAAAACACCACGAGGACAGTCAAGCATTAGTGCCGGTGGCCTACAGAGGTTGTGCAGTCTCCATCCTTGGAGGTGTTCAAGACCCAACCGGATAAAGCCCCGAGCAACCCACGCTGCTCTGTGGCTGGCCCCGGAGGTCGAAACAGACGTCCTGTCCAACCTCAGTTATCCTTTGATCCTATGAAACCCTGTTCGACTCACTTGACATGAAGAGCTAGCAAGCGCGGTAGCTGATGGCATCCTTATCATAAAAGCTCTATGATATACTCTGTTTCTGATCCTCACTTACTGAGAAGCATGGATCTTATTTTCAGAGAATCCCTTCTTGCTTTGGATGAATTTGCCAGTCAGAGATCTATAGATGAAGCAGAAATAGAGTCACGATGTGCCAGTGTGGGAAAGGATTTACTGCTCAACAGATAAAAATTAAATAATCACTTGGCACAGAACACTTCATGCCCCAGGGCTGTCATGGTCTCCTTTGCAGCCATCTCCTGGTGTAGGAAACTGTGGGTGGAGGGCACAGAAAGGAGGACAGGAGGAGAGAGGAGAGGGCCTGAAATCTGTCCCTGAGCACCTGGTCTGGGACAGATTTTGCCTGCCAGCAGGGGTTTGCTAGCTTCAAATTGTCTCTCTCTGGAATAAAAACGACAAAACATCTTCTGTAGGACAGATGTGTTTGAACCAGCCCCAAACCCAGCTACTGACCTGAACATCTCCATCCTAAACCAGCTGCAGAGGACCTGTGGGCTAGTACAAGCCATGACTATGCTGGCAAGCTGTCCCAAAGCCACTACACAGGGATGTCAGGGGAGGCATGGACTGCCCAGGCAGAACATCCCCAGGGAGACATCCACATCCCGCAGCACACCGTGCCCAGAGTGCAGCTGACACATTTCCATCCCAAGCCTATCTCCAGGGCAAAGGAAGCATGGGGTGTCCTTGGCTGATTTGGTCATCAACCTCCACACCGAGACAAGGGATTTGGGATGGGGCACCAGCGATAGATAGAGGACACGATAGTGAGAAAACGACAGTCAATGCAACCCCAGGGCGGAAAGTGCCACATCCCACTGACAGCCCTGGCCTCGTGAGCCACCTAATGCTCTCCAAACTTCCCCACTCCTTATCTGCTGCTCTCCTGCACATGCTGCCTCTCCAATTTCTATTCCTGGCCCTCTTAATCCTTCCTGCCCAGGAGCAAACGGCCTTTGCAGCCTTCCTTGCTCAGCAGGCTATTGAAGCAAAAGGTTTGTTTTGCTGAGCAGAGCAAAACACCCCATGCTTTTACGATATTTTACTAGACGCTGTGGCAAATCCTGCACATATTTGGCCTGGTGTCTGTAGCATTTATCTAATCAAAGGGATCACCGTGGCCCGGCCAGGATTGGGATGGAGGTCCCTGGGATGAGGCCATGGAGGGGGCTGTGCTCTACCTTAGCATCCCCATCCCAATGTGCACATCATAAAAACAATTCTTGGCTCAGGACTGCTCCTGCCAAAGGGAAGAGCCACCAGCACATGAGTGTGGAAAGCTCTGGCCTGTCTCTGGGGAACACAGACTGGGTGACTGTTAAAAAAAGATCATTTATCACCAGTCCCAAGTGAGAAGGCAGGGGCTGTCCCCTGCGCTCAGCATTGCTCCTGCAGACCTGTAGCCTCAGGGTAACTGAGCTGGATGGAAGTGCTATGCAGGTCATAGTTTTGGGGGGTCAAGAGCTGTTTGAACAATCCCTTGTGCTCCTAAAATGTGAGTAGCAAATTGTCACTAGCATCACTGCCCAAAGGCACGTGCTGTCGTGGAGCCTCGGTGTCACACTGTGGCAGTGATGCCACCATGGCCAGGGTGGCTCAGAGCACCGGTGGGGCCAGGGCTGCACTGGGGTGACTGGGAAGCACAAATACAAGCAGCTCGGAGCCTAGATCAGCAGCACGTGGACTCGGTCACTCATTGCCGGTTGCGAAATCCTGGGGATGTTTTCAACGCAGGGAGAGCCGATACCGAACCATTAATTACTGGTTCTCCTGCGCCACACAGCCGATGCTGGTCAGCAATCAATCAAATTCCCACTCACTGATCTTGCAATTACACTGAAATGTCTAAAGCAGAGGAGCGATGTGCCTAGGGGCAGCTGGGGAGGAGAGCAGCCAGGTTAGCAAGGAGCAGAGCACTGGCAGCTCTGCCGCTGGCTCCGGTCCCCTGCCCAGTACCACCAGTAACCAACCCAAGGTCCTGGTCAGGCGGCAGAGCCCCCGTCAGTGCTGGTGGCAGAAATCTGGCAGCCGCTGCACCCACAGAAGGAAAAACCCCGCTGCAGAGTAAAGCTCTGCTGCGTTGTGGAACACCTGATGAAAATTTTAGTCAAAACCCAAGACTGGTGGGTGTCTGGCACAGGGTGGCTCTGGCGGGGGGACAGGGGCAGCCCCGGTGATGCCGGGGGTGCCTGTGCCACCCCCGAGCCCCACTCGCCATTTGGGCACGGCTGCAGAGTGGGACCTGTTTATAGGGCATCCAGTCCCTGTAAAACTCAGTTTATAGGGAAGTAAAAGGAGTTGTATGTCGTTACTGTGCATAGCAACGTGTAAATTGCCGGGCAGGCGCTGACCTTCTCTGAGGGGTAGGGAGAGAAAAGGAGAAGGGGTGGGAGGGATGGAGGGAGCAAGAGAAGGGAAAAACAGGGGTGAAGACAACCAGCATTGGAGAGGGGAAGGCAATGACAGAAGTGAAGAGTGACTGTTCTCCTGGCAGGTTTTTTCCGAGTTTCCCACCCCAGGTACAATTAAGACCAACACTGGCAGCTCAGCATCAAGGTCAACAGCCCGGGAAGGTGCTCTCTGGGCGGCGAGCGCCTGCTCCCACGGTCCTGCCTGCGCCCAGAGCCGGGATCGGCAAAGCGCCTCGAGATTCAATAATAAACAGTCAACAAGAATCACTGCTGCTCCACCAAAAAAAAAAAAAAAAACCACCAGCTTAGCAGTGGGTGAGATGATTAAAGATTAACCCCCTGCCTCCTGCCTCCACCCCTCTGGGGAGTATAGGCCTTGAGGCTCAGCAAATCCTTTCAGAGAAATATTTGAAATAAAAGACAACAGATAGGGGACGCAGCGAAGACGGAGGGAGGCAGAAGGGCCAATAGCCTCGGACGAGGGAATCGGTACAATCTGGCCCGTGTTTGCTGATGATAATGCGCCTTTCCAAAGCCCTAATAGACATGGAGATGGCAGATTATAGCGCAGCGCTAGACCCGGCGTATACCACTCTGGAGTTTGAGAATATGCAGGTGCTGGCGATGGGCAATGGTAAGTCCCCTCCATCTTCTCCCCTCCGCGGTGGTGGGTCGCGCCGGGGGCTGCAGGAGAAGTCCCGAAATGCTGCTGGGGAGGGCTGGGGCACGGCAGGGTGTCAGCCGGGGGACTCCCAGCAGCTCATCACAGGGTTTCTGCTTCCCCCTGGGAGAAAGAGAGGTGGTGGAGCAATGCTGTGCTGGGCGCAGGCGGGACGGTGCCCTGCAGCCCAGCCACCTTGGGGACGGGCTCACATCAGGAGCTGAGCGCGATGAGAAGTCCCCACCAGACATTCAGCCCAGGGACCAGGGCTGGGGCTGAGCACAGGAGGGTCTCATCTCCCCCAGACCCCACCCAAGAGAAAAGACCAGCCAAAAGCTCCCAAGTGAAAAGCTGCTGACAGCTCCTGGACAGACCACCGAGCCGTGGCTCCAGAGCAGAGAGCTGGTCCCAACCCAGCAGCAGCTGGTGTTAGATTTTCCCAGAGCAGAAAGCCATTTAGCACCTAGCAAGGGTGGAAATCACTATGGCCCCGAGGCCATGGCCCTTCCCCACACAGTGCTGGCTGTAGGGTGGCATCCCCTTCCCTGGGAGCACTGCGGGGCTGGGAGGCTCCGCTCCTGGGAAGAGGGGTGAGGGGACCGGGCAAGCACAGAGGTGCATCCCCATCCCCTCAGGAGGGTAGGGTCATGCTTAACCCCCCAGGATTCACAATGCTGGTCCACCCATTTGGGGACCAAGGAGTCTTGGAGATTAAATGCTCAGAGATAACAGGAGATTCTTCTCCAAGTCTCCCCTAAAGTCTCTCTAAATACGAGGTTAATGACTAAACGAAGCACACCACAGAAAGCATCCCTCGAGCCCTTTCCTCCTGCCTGTCGTGTCACCCCGGCTGCCAGGCACCCCTGACCCCGATGGCTGTGCTGGTGGTTCAGGCTCTCCCCTTGCAGACAGTGCAGGTCTTCCCCAGGTTATGGTTCTGCTCCATCACAGCCATGACACCGTGGTGCCAAGGTGGCTCTGCTGTGCAATAACCCCTCACCACCGTGGGTCTCAGCCCCTTTTCTTCTCCTGGGGCTGGTCCTACCCACCCGGGGGTCTAGGGGCTGAGAGCAGCCCCCTTCAACTCTCCAGGATGAGCCCAGATGTTGCTCCCTCTCTGTGCCCCTCTCCCACCCAGCACGCAGAAGCTCCTGCATGGGGCGGCTGCAACTTGGCCCCCCCGGACAGAGGGCAACAATAATTTTATATTAAAAGATCAGGCATGATATGAAATGCACCCTAGGGGTGGATGAGTCAGCTGGGTCAGGCAGCACCAGCACCTCTCCCCTCCTCTGCCCAGCTCCAGATCAGGGGCAGGTCTCACCTCCGAGGCTGCTATAGCACTCCAACTGCCTGCACCTCTGCCCGAAAAACCTCCCTCTCCTCTGGTCAAGGACTGCATGAGAGAGAGCTCAGCCCCTGCCCAGCACAGCTCCAGCCCAGAAGTAGCTGCTCAGCAGAGACCAACTCTGCCACTGTCACAGACCAAACGCATCCCACCTTCAGACAGGCTTGGGGACCTCCCGAGGAGCTCCTGTCCTAACACATCTCAGCAAGGTCTAAAAGTCAGATGTTTTCTTTCCTCCATTTACCTGAACTCCAAATCAACATCCATTAAACCCACTTCAGCGCCGCAGCCAGAAGCCCACATTTCTGGCATTACAACATAAACTTGGAAAATTATCCATTAGGCAATAATGCCATTGTCAGTTGGCTATTAGACTAAGATGTTGTAATTTCTTTGATAACGGTGCCAGTTTTTCCTGTTCCATGTTGATCTGATTACAGCAAGAGATACTGCTAAAAAGGGATTTATCTGGGCTGTCACAGATAGAAGTAATGTGATTATAGGCAGATCAGCAATCCTTCTCTCCTGTGAGTCCTATCTTTAGCTGAAACTGGAAATCCAACTTTCCTTCTGGAATGACCTTCATCCAGCTGAGCCCGCAGGATGCACTGGGAGGAAGGAGGTTTTCGGAGGCAAGCTGCTCACAGGGACAAGAGACAGCCAGAGCAGCCCTGGGAGGAGCTCAGGGCTTTGGGAGCAGAGAGGAGCTTTGCACAGCACTGCACGCACAGAAACATGGCTGTGTGCCAGGGCGTGCCAGGCAAGGACACAGAGAGGCAGCAAACTGACTCAGGAGAGAAATATAGGAGGGACATAAGGAATTAGAACGACAGAAAGCAGGCAGGGAAACGAAAGCTGCTGCCAGAGCCAGAGAAGGGGCTGGCTCGAGATTGCCCCTCCATGCCAGCTCGCTGCTGGGGATCACAGGATCCCCGACAGGTTACTCGTGCCAAGGGAGGGCACAAGGCTGTGCGCTGCCTGCTACAATATCCCTTTTTCTGCAAAATAAATGCTACAAGGGTAGCCCTGCCCCAGGCAGCTTTGCCCTAGCCTTCCCCAGAACCCAGGCTCCAGCTACCAAAGGGAGCCCTCCTGGGACCAGCCTTTTATAGCCCCCAGCCCCTTTCTGCTGGGTGTCAAGTGGGAGCAGCTGTGGCTCTCCTGGAGTGAGAGTTAACTGCGTCCCTGCCAAACCCAGAGACCAGGGACCAACAGACTAAGGGATTAAAATCCCAGCAGGTTTCTATGGCTTTGTAGATCCTGGGTATCATGTGCAACCAGGATTTCCACTGAGGCAGGGGAATGTGCCTGTGCTGATACAGGAAAATGTGCATGGGAGGGGACAATTAGATCAACTGAATTAAGGGCTGATCCCTTCAGCCTTGAGGTTTGTTTGGCTTGCTGGAGGGGTTTTAGCATAGGGCTTGTATGGTTTTGAGCCTTTCAGACATCCTTTCCTACAGAGGCTGCTGCAATTCTCCATCCTCCCAAAAGAGCCCTGCAAGCGTCAGTGCCCCTCAGTCTGTAAGGATGTCAGACACATCCATCTCAGCTGTGGTGCTACACGACTCCAGCAGATACCCAGCGTACAGCCTCCTCCATGCTATAGCATCACCCTTCCTTTCTGCATTAGCTTGATCAGTCCTTCCTTGCATGGGTGGTATTTGCCCACGTGAGTTTTCCAGCTGAAGCCACTCGAAGTCTTGTTCTCCTGAAGAACAACTGTGCAGGCTGGAGCTCCATGCGTGGCAGAGAGGCTCTGCAGCAAAAGGAGCTGGTCACCTCGTTTCTCTGACAGTGTCTGCTCAGGGCTGTCTTGGGCTCCTTTGGGGCTGTAACACAAACATTTCTCTAATAAATCAGCTGCTCACCCTGAGCTGTAATACCTCAGCTTTAACTCTGCACCAGCTTTTGTCTCTGGCCACGCTACTGCAGCCCAAAGCATCTGCAAATCCCTGAGGAATTTTGGCTCTGCTCTGACTCCTGCAAATGGATTTCTGCTTTGTCTGAAGGCATTATTGGAGTCAGACCTTTGGGAAGAGCTGTCTCACCCTGGTACATGGGGAGCTTTTGCACCCTCAGAATGCAATGGCTTCAGACACTCTGACTGGCCCCTGCTGCACAGCCTGGTTCCTTCAAAAATCAAGTCTCATTGGAAACTGAAGTAGGATATGTTTGCTGGATGTCTCACTGTCTTCTTCCCATGTCCTTCCCCAAGCAGACACGTCTCCATCAGAAGCAGCCAACCTCAACGCTTCCAACAGCATCGGGGTGAGCGCGCTGTGTGCCATCTGCGGGGACCGCGCCACGGGGAAGCATTACGGGGCTTCCAGCTGCGATGGCTGCAAAGGCTTCTTCAGGAGGAGCGTCCGGAAGAACCACATGTATTCCTGCAGGTAAGGACAGAGGGGACAGAGCCGCATGGCTGAGACAAAACAGTCCCTAGGAGCTGAACAGCAAAGCCCTCAAAGCGCAGCAGCATGGTCCTTCATCCTCTTCATCCTCCCTGCATCCTCCACTGCCTTCCCTGACCTCATCCTCCAGCTGGGAAGGGCCAGAGACAGCACTTACTCTGGGATTGCCCTCCAGTGACCACTGGGGAAAGACCCTGGGAGGTCTTGCCCTATTCCTTAGGGGCCAAACATGTGTTCTTCCAAATGGATATGGTCAATTGTGGATGCAGCCAGCAAACAAGGTGATGTTGAGGGGGAAGCCCTACTGCAGGGGCTGAGCACCTTGTTACCCAGCGCCCTGAGTGCAGCACAAACCCCGCTCGCTCCCTGGGGCACTTCAACAGCCTCCCATCCCTTCTCCATCATGAGAAGGAAGCATGTCTGCCATCTACCTAAAATGCCGTCACTGCCTGTTACGTGATAAAAGAAGAGTCACAGAAGAAATAGAGGAATTCTCAGCTCAGAGTGTATAAATCATTGGGGCTTTCTGAGTGAGTCACTCCTGATGGCCTGACAGCCACTTGGAGAGTGTGAACAGCAACATGACTCTAAAATCTGAGTGACAGAAAGAAGCCCCAGGTTTACGAGTGCAGATGAAGCACATCACCGCTTGCACCCCGGGGCTATTGAGGCTGGGAGCCCCCTCCCCACAGCTCCAGTGGGAAAAGCCAAGGTGCCCAGTTCTTTGGAGACGATGGCTTTTATCTAAGTGCTACAGAAATGCTTAAAAAGCTGCTTTCTGGCACCCATTTGGGGAAATCTTAGCTTGAGGCTTTAAAAAGTACAGTAGAAACAAGGCTTTTCAAAAGCTACAGAGCTGGGCATGGCTGGGAGCCTCTTCCTAACTCTGTACGCCTTGTCTTTACTTTGCAAGCTTGATCAATCAGCAGTAAATTGGACCAAATTTGCAAGTGAAATTCATGCTGCAAATGCCCACCAGGCTTGTGCTGCATGCAAGAGCCACACACATGGGAGATCAGTGTTTGCCCCGCCACGTGCAATGGATTTGGTGACACAAGGGTGGAGGGAAGGAGCTGGTTGCTTCCCAGCTCCTCTCTGAAGGGCAGGTGCCTGCAGAGATGTCTGCACACCGGCGATGCTGTCCAGAGGTCAGAAGCAACCTGCCTGGACCCCAGACAGAGCCCTGGAGAGATGCAAGGACTTAAACCCACTTCTTAACCTCACTAGCTCCAGAACAACCTTCTACCCTTTTTTATTCAGAATAAATACATTCTTTCTCCTCTCTAACTGGGATCTAACTTGCAACAGAGGCTCCCAAGGTGGGTCTGACCCTCCTGGCTCACACTTTTAGCTTCACTAGGGCTTGTTAGTCCATCACGACATCCTGTGCCTAGTGGTCAGTGAATAAGATCAGCAGTTGCTCCTGCACGCGACTGTCAGCTCCAGCCCGTCCTTACTGAACATCCAGAGGCAGAGCAGAGGGCTATGTTCACTGCAAAGAAGAAACCTCAGGTTAAAGCAAGTGTGGAAATGGCACACACCAGGGCTCTTTTCTCAGGGCGAGCCTGTGGGAACCTGCCGTGAGCACAGCTCGGAGCCTGGGGCTCTGTCTTGTCCTGCCTTCAGGCTCCGTTCTGCTGCTCTCACACCTCTCTTTCCTCCCAGGTTCAACAGGCAGTGTGTGGTAGACAAAGACAAAAGAAACCAGTGCCGATACTGCAGGCTTAAGAAGTGCTT